CAAGGGTAATAGAAATAGAGAATAGAATGATGGTTACCCAGGGATGAGGAAAGAAGATATGGTATCTGTTGTTCAATGGGTATAAAGTTATAGTTATACAAGATGAGTTATAGTTATACAAGATCTGCCACAAAATGCAGTACCTATAGTTAACAATAGGCATTATGTACTTAAAAATGTGTTAAGAGGGTAGGTCTCATATTAATATTTCATACCAAAAGAAAAGCAAACAAACAAAAAGCAAAGGGACACAAGGAAACTTTTGAACGTGATGGATATGTTCATTGCGTTGATTTGGATGATAGTAACACAAGTGTAACATTTGTCCAAACTCGCTAAATCATATACATTAATTATGTGCATTTTTGTATACCAGTTATACCTCAGTAAAGCTGGGGGAAAAGAAAGATTGTGGAAGAAAATCAACCAGAGCATTATTAGCATAAGTTTTTATTAGGAAATGCAAGACATGGGAGGGTATGATGGAAAGTCCCCCAAGGATGTTGGGAAAAGAAAGAATGTTTTATGAAACTTCAGCAGGAAGGGGTTGGCTGAAATCCAGCTAGTTTTGAGAACAGAAGAATTGTTCTTATGTATTAACAGCCGTTGTTTGGATAGCCTGAATAATCAAGAGAAGCACAGAGGAACAGATAGATGCCAAAGGCAGGTGAGAAGGAACACCTATGGGAACCAGGACACGTGCAGGCCACAATGGAAAATTCCCCATTCTTCGGGGTTTTTATGGCATTCGAGAAATACTTCTCTCATTATTTTTATCATTTTTGCATTAGAATGCATTTTCTCCACATTACAGACCTAAAGTATTATGAAACAGTATATAGTACCAAATGGTGATGCATTACTTCCACTTTTCTTCAAATATTATCCAGCTTTAATAATATTTTATAAAATACTATCATTATAACACCATCACCATGAAAACTTTTCCTCAAATACATCACTGGACATTATAAGGAAACAATTCAGAAGATTCAAGGTATCTGAGATGAAGCATAGAAGGGATCTTTGCCCTGTATTCAATGGAAAAGATGATAGAAAAAAAGCAGCTTGAACTCTGAAAAGATTTGCCTTCTCTTAAAACTATTTGTGTCTAGATAGACACTTCAAGGGAGATGATAAAGCATTCTAAATTGGTCTGTAAGCTTTAGTCTCTTCTTTATTTTTTTTTAAACAAAGAATCATCTGTAGAAATTGACCTATTTTGAAATGAAGAACCACAAAAAGCCAGCATTTATCTAGGTCAACCTATAATTAATGTAAGTTTGTGTTCAGTTAAGTATTGCATTTCTTGGTTTATTTTTATAAGATTGATACTACTTGTAAATGGATACATATTTAGGCATAATAGTGATCCATATCATAGAACTTGATTATATGGTTCTTGTATGGCTAAAATATGATATAATTTGCATATGGATTAAGTTGCTTCTTCTCTTCCTTCAAATTATTGAGTAGGCTGAGCATTTAATAAATCCTTCATCTACATAAACTCTTTGCTAACTAGTTTTCCTGATTCTACTTTTGGCTCCCCCTTCAGCCTATTCTCAACATAACGGCCAGTATGCTTTTAAATATAAGACAGATCATATTACTTCAATATTTAAAACCCAGCAATGGATCCTTATTTCACTCAGAACAAAAGGTAATGCCCTTACAATTCTAAAAGTCCTCATGTGATCTTCTCTGGCCACACATTCTATCAGGGCATTGACATAGCTAGCAAATCCCTTTTCCTATAACAAACACTCTTTCCTAGAATATCCATATTGTACATTGTCCCCTGAAGTTTTTGCTCAAATAACAATTTATCAATGGTGCTTTTTCTGAACACTCTTACTAATTTTATTGTTTCATTATCCATTCTTTGTCTTGCCAGTTAGAATGTAAATTCTATAATGTAAGAGATCTTTGTTCACTGATATATTCTATGTGTCTGGAATAGTGTCTGGCCCATGGTAAGTATTCGGTAATTATTTGTTGAATGAATGAATAAATGAAAAATTTCCTACTTAACACCTATCTGAGTATTGCTGTAATTTTATTAGACAGCTCTTAGTCCAATTAATTTTCTACATTTTTCAAACTATGAAAATATAGATTTATATGAAGTTTTTATCTTAAAGAAGTTGTAGAAAAGTAAATAGGAAGTTAAAGAGTTTTTTTAAAAATATGACTATATTGTATTTATTATTCCCATTATAAAAAATTCAAGCAGTATACTATATAAAGAAAATTATAAAAAAGTAAACTCAAAATTATACCACCTGGACTTAAGCATTATATAAACATTGTTGCAGACATCTGTGTTGATATGTTTGTGTGTGTGGGTGTGTGCGTGTGTATAATATAGATATTACAGCTTAGATAAACATCATTGCAAATCTCTCTATATATACATATATGTGTATGTGTGTATAAATGTATGTAATGAAATCTTTATACATATATGTAATGAAAACACAGAAAATGTTTAGTATATAGATACAGTAAGTGGCAAGATAGATTTTTACAAAATACGTTCTCATTTAAAAAGTATTAAGTTTAGTTTTAAATATATTTATTAGAAAAAGACATAGGAGAAATTCAAATTAGTGCACAATTCTCTTCATCATAAAATACATTTTATCCCAAAATATGTCTAAAAGTTTAAGAAAAAAAATGTTCAGGGAGAAGACATTGTTGCATGCTTTAAATGGCATAATTTATTTTTAAACTCCTTTGATTTATGATTCCCTGCTACCATAAAGTAATTAGTAGTCATATTTCATTCCATATCTAACTTTTAGTCACATATTAGTTTGCAATATTGTACTGAAATATAGAAAAAAACAAAGTCTCAATAGACATGTTTCTTCATTATAGGATAGCACAAAGTTAATTTATGCATACAGGAAGGATATCCTTGGAATGTATCAAATCAATGCCTAAATGCACTGGAGAAGTCATAAACTGTTAAACTGAAGTATTGAAACAGATAGCCACCAACCTACTGTATTGTATTTAATTATGTACTCAACATTTGTTTACTTTTTGATTTGTGAACAAATAATACTAGTGAGAAATATGTTTTCTTAATAATTCCACAAACTAATTATTAATAAATGTCTTGAATGAATTAGAGGCAAGGAAGGAAGCTTATTAATGCAAACATTTAAGCCAAATAAATATTAATAAAAATAATAATCATTTTAATGGAATAGTTACTATGTGCTAACAACTGTGCAAAGATTTATGTTAAAACTTTAGTTCATTTAATGCACACACAACCCTATGTGGTAGACGATGTCCTCATTTTATATTTTAGGAAACCAAAATTTTGAAAGCTTAAAATTACTTGTCTAAGGTTATGCAATTGATAAATAAAGGAACTGAAAACTGAAGCCAAACCTCTGTGCTCTTCAATGCTATATTATTACTGTGTGTGCCTCCTACATAATGTCAAGAGGATAGTGTGGTTTGACTCTGAGGCCTCTCTTATTTTTGTTAAGTGAGCATGAGCCTCTCAGGAGAATCCTAAAACACAGGCTGAATGATGTTAGGCCAGGCCTGTGTCTCCCAGTACATCCATTCTCTTCAGTTTCCCAGAGAGGCTGCATTCAATTATTAACTGGTGTTTGCTGAGTGCCTTTACTCCTTTTTTCCACCTTATCTTTTCTTTATTCTTCAAGGATCTCATAAAAAAAGAAACTGTAAAGCAGAGAGACTAGTGGGCATGGGTTGGTGAGAGAAATGGAAAAGAATGAATAGTACTTCAGTAAGACAGTTTTCATCTGTGCTTGTGTATAAAAACTTAAAACAACCAAATAAAACATGTCACTGTCATTGGTAGTGTCCCCTGACATGCACGAGTATAGCCATTTCCTCCAAAGTTTAGTATTGTCATTGTTCTTGTAACAAAGGCAAATTGAGCACATAGCAGATTCTTAAGGCAATATATTTTTCATAGAGCAGAAAATGGGTCAATTTTGGCATCTGAAACAAAAGTTATTTTCTGTTGTGTCAAAGAGCTTTAAAATATTTACCCTTCAAGCCCCAAAATACCTCAAAGTATGGACTCCAAAAGGAACGTGGAAGCTATAAATAAATTTTAAAATATTTTTCATGTATAGTTTACATAAATTAAAATTGATTTACTTACATTCAAATTTCTGTGCAAATTTAATAATATGCACTCTAGAGTTAATAATATAAAGTTTTTAATAAGGAAAAGGACATTACCATCTGTAGAAACACAGAAAACAAATACTTATGTGGTAATAATTTGTACTTTCAATTGAAATCCAGTTATATGATTAGAAAAGATATATTTTCCAGATATTAGTTCACATTCTTTCTTTTTTATTGAATATTACTGATTCCATACAATGAATATTACTGATTCTAAGCTGTTTGTTTTCACCTGTATAGCGTCTGAAATTTGTATACCATATTTTTGTCTTTACCTAGTATACCTGCCATTGTAAAATATCTCTACATCTCCCCTTGCTATAATGCTCTAAGTATTTTTATACCCTTAGGAAAACAAGCATATTTGTCCTACACCTTAGCATCTGGCTATGTGGCATGTATGACAAACTCTGGTGGGAGGTGTAATTTATGACAACTGTATGAAGTCAAGTGTTCTCAGACTCCATGATTCCTGTAAAGCATAGACAGCTTTATTTGTACAGTGTATTTAGCATTTCCCATGAGGCACATAAAAGCTCAAATGGTATCATAAATTCAAAAAGTCTAAACTTAAATAGGACATGGTTGATGACCTTTTCTACCTTATTCAGTTTCCAGCATCATTGGGAGCTACATACTGAAAAAATACAGAGAATTTTTTTCAAGGGTTTATATTCGGTAAACATTAACAAAAACCAGGCTGTCATCATTTTTCATTTACTGAATGTCATTTCAAGTTGAAGATGATTTTCTTTTTTTTTTTGTCCATCAAGCCCATCAAAATGTCATGTTGTACTTTGTTTGATTTATAGAATTTTGGACCGCTACGTTCAGGAGCAAATTCCTGGTGCCAAGGTTGTGGTGGAGTCCATTGGTGCTCGCCGCCATGGAGATGCCTTTTCCCTAGAAGATTACACCAAATGTGACTTGACTGTCTATGCAATTGACCCCCAAACCAATAGAGCCATTGACAGAAATGAGCTATTTAAGTAAGTACTTTTTGTGGTCTATTAACAGCTCTGTGGTTACAATAGCACGCACAGATAATTCTGACTTTAGGCTTTAAGTACCTGAAGTTTAAAACCCACCAAATTGTTGTTGAAAATGAACTGTAAGCAAAAAATCTAAGACAATACCTAGGTCCTCATGCCTAAAGGTTTTCAGGTCCAAGAGTGGACTACAGTGGCTGCAGAGGGGCTGTTCTTACAGGTGTGGTAGGGCCTGTTACATTTACGAGCAAGGAAGAGCTCCTTGAGATCCGTTCAACACAGCTCCCCACTCTTGCTCCAGGGCCCTGGCTATTTGGGACAAAAGCACAGTTTCTTGAAACAGCAGTTTGCCTGCAACAGTTTCAGTGGGCTTGTACTTTAGGAAGAAATCCAGCTTTCTCACATGTCTATTGAATTAGCAAAAACTAGTATTTGATTTTTCCCTTGACTTAGAGGTGGTTAGGGAATAATCTGCCCCATTTAAGTCCATGCCGCTTGTGATATTTCATTCTGGTATGAACCTAAATATTTGAGTTATAAATCCTAAAAATAAAGAAAATGCAAAATCTTAAACAAAATACCGTTACATATTTTCCCTCAGATGTTATTCTAGCACACTTTAATTCTTTTTTTTAATCTATTACCAGTTTTTGCTTTACTATAGTGACACCTAGTGTACAACAGGTTCTTGGAATAAAATTCCATCTAAATGAAACAT